TAAAGATCTCCTGGTGGAGCAGGGGATTGGACTAGATGATCTCCGAGATCCCTTCCAGCCCTAGATTGCTGTGCTGTTTCAGAGTCTTCTGAAGCCAGGGTTTGTGTCTGTCCTTCCTTCCTCTCCTTTTTCTCTCTCTCCCTCCCTCAGTGTGTCTATCCATCCATATTTTTCATTCACATTCTCCTCCCTCCCTCTCTTTTTCTTTCTTTGTCCCTTCCTTCCATCTCTCCCTTTCTTTGTCTATCCCTTTTTTTCCTTTCCTTTCTCTTTTTCCTTCTTTCTCTTTCTTTTCTTTCTTCTCTCTCTCTCTCCCTCTATCTCTCTCTGTGTCTCTCTATGGCTCTCTCTCACACCTCTGTATCTCTCTCTCTCTCTCTGTGTGTGTGTCTCTCTCTGCCCCTCTCCCTACCTTCCCCCCTCTCTCCCCCCCACTCTCTGTCTCTGTCTCTCTCTTTCTATCTCTCTCTGTCTCTCTCTATGGCTCTCTCTCACGTGTCTGTATCTCTCTCTCTGTGTGTGTGTGTGTGTGTCTCTCTCTCTCTGCCCCTCTCCCTACCTTCCCCTCTCTCTCCCCCCCACTCTCTGTCTCTCTCTCTCTCTCTTTTTCTCTCTCTCTCAAAGCCGACTGGGCCAAGCCAGCAAGTTCATGAAAGCATCCCTACAAGGGACCCTCCTCCTCCCTCTCTCGTGACCGGGGGCTACCGGGTGCGGGGCAGGCGGCTGTGGCTGGCTATCGTTATTCCAAAACGAAGAAATGAAAGAAGTAGCAAAGAGCACCAAGGAAGGAGAGCTTGCTGGCTTGGCCCAGCCATGGATTTGAGGGAGGGAGGGAGGGAGGGAGGGAGGGAGAGAGAGAGAGAGAGAGAGAGAGAAACACACACACACACACACAGAGTTGGGGAGGTGTGTGCTCTTTACCTTTTAAAATTCTTGATTTTCTTTATCTTTTAAAAATCCTGGTTATGTCCTTTATTTATGCCCTCTTTAAAAGATTCATAGCATGCTTTGAAGGTGAGGCATGTGGTGAATAACACAATTATCCCAAAGGGGGGGGGCGAGGGGAAGAAGATTGGTTTGTTGAGGCTCAATGACAGCTAGAAACTTGAAGACTTCATTTCCTGTTCCTGTCATGCAGCTTTTTTGCATGGATGAAATTTCTGCTCCTGTTGCGTGGTTGGTTGGTTGGGGCTGTGGAAACTGGAAAGGGAGCATGTTGCTTCTGCAATACTTACAGGAGGGTCGTTTTGTCTTTCTTTCTCCCCCCCTCCCTCTCTGTTTCTCATCTCTCTCCTCCATGGCAAGAGCAGCAGCGTCAGGCAGTGTCTCGGGAGAAAAGTCGCCACCCCCCCCCCCCCACCACCCCTCTTGCCTTGAGTAGCCTCACGCAGCACCAAACTTAGCGCCAAATTTAGCGCGCTTCACAAATGAGGAGGCGCCATTTGTGAAGCGTGCAAAGTTTAAAGGTGCTGCACAGCGCGTTCCCCTCCCCCCATATTTTCCTTGCCGTGAGCAGGGCTCGCGCTGCGCAGCACCTTTAAACTTCGCGCGTTTTACAAATGAGGTGATTCAGCGCTGTTGCCGCCACATTTGTGAAGCGCGGCTCCCCCCACCCGTATTTCCCTCGCTGCAAGCAGCCTTCCCAGCCTCGCTTCCCCAAGGGGGAAGCATAGCAGGGGGAGGAAAGGCAAGCTGTTGAGCCCTGTCCCAGGGCTTGCCATACCTGGGGGGCCGGGATGAAGCAGCAGCGAGAGGGCAATGGCGGCAATGGTGCCCAAGGAACGCAATGGCAGCAATTCTGGCGGCATCTGGGCTTCCAGGACTAGCTCCCCACCCCGCCATCTGTCAATTGTTTGTGTGGGCAAGGAGGGGCAGGGTCGACGGGGAGGGGCGGGGCCAGCCAGGAGTGCCAGTTGCTGGTTCTCCGAACTGCACAGAATCATAACATCCAGTTCTAAAGAACCGGACAGAACCGGTAGAATCCCACCCCTGGGTTTAAGCCTTTATGTGAACAAAAGCTGGTGTACAAAGACTGTAGACAGCCACTGCTCCATGGATCTGGAGTATATGACTCTTAAATGTAGACCCATATATCTTCCGCGGGAATTCAGCGTGGTTTTGATTACTGCAGTCTATGTCCCACCTGATGCCAATACTACCATAGCTTTGGGATTCTTGTATAACATTGTTAGTAATCAGCAGAATAAGTATCCTGATGCTGTGCATATCATAGTGGGGGAACTTTAATCAAGCTGATTTAAAAGAAGTGTCCCCTAAATTCTATAGCATGTTAAGTGTGCTACTAGAGGAGCAAACATATTGGACAAAGTACTGTATATAGCAACATCAAACATGGCTATAGGTTGATACACTGCACAGATACTATCACTGTGGATAAAACGTATTAGGATCTATCCCAATCAGAAACCTTGGATGACCAAGGAAGTCCAGCGCCTCTTGCATGACAGGACCAAGGCCTTTAGGTCCGGTGATGGGGCAAGATACAGTGCTGCCAGAGCTAATCTGAAGAAAGGTATTCAGAAGGCCAGGACTGATTATAAGAGGAAGATTGAGGATAATTTTTATAGCAATAACATAAGGCAGGTGTGGCAAGGGATTCAACAAATTACAAACCATCAACCAACCAATGTCATCCCAGCTGAGTGGGATGTTTCATTGGCAGAGGAACTGAATCATTTCTTTGCTCGCTTTGAAGTGGAGACATCAGAGACAGATAAAACACAACTACCAGCCAAGTGTAGCCCCCACCTCATTGTGGAGGAACAGGAGGTGAGGAGCATTCTGAGGGCTGTGGACCCTAGAAAGGCTGCCGGTCCTGACGGTATCTCTGGCCGGGTGCTCAGAGACTGTGCTGATCAGTTGGCCGGAGTCTTTACCAGGATCTTCAATCGGTCTCTATCCCAGGCCACTATTCCATCTTGTTTGAAGGCTTCCACCATTGTTCCGCTGCCAAAGAAGTTCCCTATCAATAACCTCAACGATTACAGACCAGTGGCATTCACTCCTATCATCATGAAGTGCTTTGAGAAAGTGGTCTGCCGGCACATCATTTCGGGTCTTCCGCATACATTTGATAAACACCAGTTTGCATACAGAAAAAATAGATCTACAGAGGACACTATAGGCATCACTCTTCACACTGCTCTGACTCATCTAGAACAGCAGGAGGGCTATGTGAGGATGCTTTTTGTGGATTTTAGTTCTGCGTTTAACACAATTCTTCCACGTAGACTAGTGTCTAAACTTCTGGACCTTGGACTTTCTAATTCAATCTGCCTTTGGATTATGAATTTCCTGTCTGGCCACTCACAGAGGGTCAGATTAGGTAATCATACCTCTTCAGCCCTTATTCTTAACACTGGTGCACCACAGGGTTGCATGTTGAGTCCCTTACTCTATACTCTTTATTGCATGACTGCATTCCCACTCACGCTAGTAATACTATTGCGAAATTTGCAGATACAACAGTAGTGGGACTTGTCTCAGGAGGGGAGGGGGGATGAGTCTGCCTACTGAGTTCAGGTGGACCGGTTGCTTTCGTGGTGTGGAGACAATAACTTGGTCCTCAACACCAAGGAGCTTACTGTGGATTATAGAAGGAACAGAATAGACATCCAGCCCTTGCTTATCAATGGAGACCAAGTGGAGCAAGTGGTTAGTTTTAAGTTTCTGGGTGTTACCCTACAAGAGGACCTGACCTGGGGTGGCCACCTTGCAGCCCTGGTCAAAAGGGCCCAGCAGAGATTATACTACCTGAGACTTCTCAGAAAGCAACTGAATGAAAAACTGCTGGTGACCTACCGCTGCACCATAGAGAGCATTTTAACATACTGCACCTCTGTATGGTTTGCCAATTGCACAGTGGCAGATAGGACAGCAGTCCAGAGGGTTAACATTGCCCAGAGGATCCTTGGTTGCCCTCTCCCCTCTTTGGAAAAGCTTTATAGCTCCTGCTGCCTTAAGGAAGTTCAAAACATTCTCAAAGATCCATCTCATCCCGGGCATCCTTTTTTTGAACTATTACCATCTGGCAGACGGTACAGAATAATAAAAACAAGGACAAATAGGCTGAAAAACAGCTTCTATCCCAGGGCAGTAGCTCTTTTGAATTCTGTTGTATAGTGCAGCATTGGTGTAGCGTCTGGGGTTTCCGGTTCAATGTGTGGAGTGTGAAGGATGTGTGTTTGTGTTTATTTTCATGGTCATGGTCATGATGTGCACTGAAGATGGTGTTTGATTTCATTGTACGAGGTGCAATGACAATAAAGTAAACTAAATCACCACTAGTATTAAGGATTGGTTGGGACGTTTCACCCATGTGGTATCTATTCTCTAATCCAAATGCTGTATCTATGTTACTCTTCCTTGCTGGTAAAAATGGCATAAAAGAATAAATGCTGCCCAGGCAGTCAGACATCTTGGCACCCTGCACAATGACAGGTCTTTGAAACCCATCATATGGCGCCCAACCAGGGACACCAGAAGAAAAACTACTTCTACGCAGAAAAGATGGTCCCTGACTTACAACATTTCATTTAGTGACTGTTCGAAAGTTACAACAGCACTGAAAAAAGTGAGTTACAACCAGTTTTCACACTTACGACCGTTCAAGCATCCCCATAGTCACGTGATCAAAATTCAGACACACCTCTGAACTGACTCACATTTATGACAGTTTCAATGTCCTGGGGTCAGGAGATCCCCTTTTGCAATCTTCTGACAAGCAACGTCAATGGGAAAATCAGATCTGCTTAACAACCGTGTTGCTAATTTAACAACTGTGGAGATTCACTGAACAACTGTGCGGCAAGAGAGGTTGCAAAATGGAGCAAACTTCACTTAACAAACCTCTCACTCAAAAACAAAAATTTGGGGCTCACTTGTGTCATAAGTCAAGGACTACCTGGACAAAATATTTCTCCTAGTTAACTCCAAGCCATAAAGAGAAGGCTGGATACATCGCGTGCTAGACCGGCCCCTCCCCGGTTTAGCGGAGGGGAAGAAAGTCCCACTACATCACATGACGCCATGAGTTTCACCCCCCTGATATAGATCCTGCTTCACCTTTGCAGGGATTCTGGCATATTCGCCATTTCCTCCTCAAGAATTGCACTTCCAGCATGGTTGAAAGAAGGAAAAAGATCGTCCTGAACAAAAAGGCCCTTTTGGTTTTCGTTACCTTTCCTGCCCCAACGTTGAGTCCGTTACCAGATATGCCAAGGCCTCAAACGGAACACATGGAAGAGAAGGTTGTAAGCAAAAACTTTATTGTGCAGCAAAACTAACACAAAGAAATCCCCCCTCTCTCTGTACCTCTCTGTCTATCTCTATGAGAAAGGAAAGGGGAAGATGTGGAAAGGAAAAAGGCAATGGCTTCCGACTCCCTTTGGATCAGTAATAACATCAAAGCAAAATGTTTTAGTTTTACATACCGTGTTTCTCAAAAAATAAGACCCAGTCTTATATTCTTTTCTGCACCAGGACTTACCCACTTACCTAAGGACTACTGCAGCCATGCCTCCTCCGCCCCAATACCTATCACGCCGCTACTCAGCATCTTCTACATTGTATATTGTGCCATTGTGTGCTTGAGCAGCAGCAGCGGCACAAGATCCTTGCGGCATTCTCCCGTTAGTGGCAGCACAGGCGTGCAGAGCAATATGGCATCTGGCCACGAGTGGCGGCATTAGCGCAATGAATCAGATGGCGTTCTGCTGTGAGTGGCGGCACTGGCACAACGAGCCACGCAGCGTCTTGCATGCAAGCTGCCACAACCGGCTTTAAAAGTAAGGCAGCAGTGCAACAGATGTTGGGGTATGGGAGGTCTGAGTGTGGCAGTCTACAAATAAGTGAGTAAGGGGTGCATGAGACAGGTCCACCCCCTCCCCACCCTAGCTTGATTTTTACGTCTTAGGTCATTTTTTCCTGCTGTGTGTCTTCTTATGGCAATTAAAGTTACCCCCGGTTGTGAATTTCTTTCCACACTCCACACACTGATACGGCTTCTCCCCTGTGTGGATTCTTTTATGGACCCTAAGATTCTTGCCGTCTTTAAAACTCTTTCCACACTCGAAGCATTTAAACGGCTTCTCTCCTGTGTGGATCCTATTGTGTGAGGTAAGCTGGCCACTCACAGGAAAACATTTTCCACACTCCAGGCATTTATAGGGTTTCTCCCCTGAGTGAAGCCTTCTATGGATCCTGAGTGAATGATTATGTTTAAAGCTTTTTCCGCACTCGGGACATGTATACAGTTTCTCCCCTGTGTGGATCCTCTTGTGGATACCAAGATAATAACTTGTCCTGAAATTCAGGCCACACTCCATGCACTTATAGGGTTTCTCCCCTGTGTGAATCCTCTTATGGATGCCAAGGACACTACTTCTACTGAAACTCATGCCACACTCCTGGCACTTATAGGGTTTCTCCCCAGTGTGGATCCTCTTGTGACGAGAGAGAGCCGCTAAATCAGTGAAGCGTTTGTCACATTCAGGACATTTATAAGGCTTTTCACCTGTGTGGGTCCTTTTATGGACAGTAAGATTACTTGCTTGACTGAAATGCTTCCCACACTCGGTGCATTGATACGGTTTCTCTCCAGTGTGCATTCTTCTATGAGAAGTTAGGTGGCTGGAGTTATGGAAGCTCTTTCCACACTCCAGGCATTTGTACAGTTTCTCCCCTGTGTGGATCTGTTTGTGGACATGAAGGCCACCAGAACGGGCAAAGCGCTTTCCACACTGCAGGCAGTGAAAAAGTTTCTCCCCTGTATGAATCCTCTTATGGGAAGAAAGTGTACAAGGGGCACTGAAGCATTTTCCACACTCTGTGCATTTATACGGCTTCTCTCCAGTGTGGATCCTCTTATGTAAATTTAAATTGCCTTTTCGGGTGAAGCTCTTTCCACACACTGTGCAATGATACGGCTTTTCCCCTGTATGAGTCCTATTATGGTAAGCGAGGTCACTGGCATAGCGGAAGCTCTTCCCACATTCTAGGCATTTATATGATTTCTTCCCAGTGGGGCTTTTTTCTAGGGAATTTGGTTCCTTGCTCTGAGTAAACCCCATTCTACCCTCCCTGCATTGATCCAACTTCTCCTCTCTGTGGAGGCTTTGATGAGAAGTAAGGGAGGCGCTGCTCCTGAAGGTCTTTCCACAAGGGATGCATTGATGCTGCTGCTTCTCGTGGATCGTCTGGTGTGAATTAAGATGGTTTTTCTGCCTGAAGGTCCTTCCACAATCAAGACATTTGTGTGGATCCTCTGCTTTGTGAATCTTTTTATGTGAAGCAAGAGAGCAGCTTGTACCGAAGCTTTCTGCACACTCTGTACATTTGTATGGTTTCCCTCCTTTTTTTATTCTTTCACGTAAAGGAGGAGGAAGGTCCCTTCTGGGGTGCTGCCTGCTTTCATCTTGTTTCTCACCAGCTGGGCTTTCGCCACAGTCACATAATCCAGATTCATTACAGAGTGTTTTCCCACACCTTGAACACATTTCTTTTTCATGGCAATCATCCGTGTCCAATAAGACATTGATATCTGAACAAGGTAAACCAGAGCAATTCTCCAGCTCCCCCGTTAACTGGATTAGCTCAGAACTTTGCTTTCCATACATCTTTTCTGCAACTTCCTTTTTGTCTTTTGGCAAAGGTGCTGCTGCCTCTTGGCCAGAATCCTCCGTCTCCCATCTGTCAACTGGTTGCAACAATAAAAAAAGAAGTTAGCACAACCTTTAGTGCGAAAGCAATGAAGCACCATGATGTATTTGAACAGTATCAAAATCCTTCCAAACTCCCATTTGTTCCAAACATGATGTTATCCATGCTATTAAGATGATATTTGAACATTTGACCTTTGGCTACTAAATTTAAATACCTTAACAGAATCCCTTACCTAAGGAGGCCACGTTCCTCTTGTTTTCCAGCATGACCTCTTGGTACAGGTCTTTTTGCTCAGAGTCCAGCAGGGCCCACTCCTCCACAGAGAAAAACACAGCTACATCCTCAAATGATACCAAATTCTGACATAGGGAGGGCAAAAAACAACAAACCACAACGTATTTCATGAATATTCCTAACAATGAACCCTCAATGAATTACATGTGACTCTTCTTCTTAATGAAAAACTTCCACAGTTTCCAAGTAGGACAAAGGAGCATGTAGGATATTGAATTTAGCAGCTGGAAAAGTAAAGTGTACAATAGGCCGGAACACAATTGTAACTGATTAGAGAATGCTGACTCATGCAGGATGCAATCTACACTAAGATTGGTTGCGGTAAGTATAAAGGGGGTGTTTCCTTTCCCCCCTCCTTTTTCCCTTCTCTGTGTTCTGCATGATGCTGTCAGCTTTGGAAGCCATATTAGCACCAGACGCTTCCACCCTGCCACATTCTTGAGCCTGGGAAAAGGTGGGGTGGGGGAGAATTTCTTGGAGCATATGTGGCTAGACATAATAGCATTCTTCTTCTAAGTCAAGGTCATGTTATCTCTGCACCTGGCTGAGGAGTGATTGAGAGGATGTCTGAAGTTGGGATGGATGGTGATTGGGGCATGTTGACGCCATGAGGGGTACAAGGGGTAGATTTGTAATTTTTTACTTATTGCAGGGAAACCCAGAATTTTCACATTCGGGATTTCCCAGATGGACCATTTTACTACTCTAATAAAAGGAACTTTTGAGAAGATGTCTGTCTGAGAGTTATTTGTTGGAGTTGAGGTTTTCTGGAACACTGACAGATGTTTTAGATTTACCTCATGATGTTCCTGTGTTCCTGACTATCTTATGCAAGAACTGGATATGGCCAGTCCAGAGAAAAGAAGGACCAGGGGAGACGTGATATCAGTGTTCTAGTATTTCTGGGGCTGACCCAAACAAGAGGGGCTCAACTTACTTTCCAAGGCACCAGAAGGCAGGAGAAGAAACAATGGATGGACACTAATGGTGGAGAAAGGCAACCTGGAATTAAGGAGAAACTTCCTGACAGTGAGAACAATTAACTAATGGAACAGTTTGCTTTCAGAAGTTTTGGGCTGGAGGTTTTTAAGGAGAGACTGGACACCCACTTGTCTGAAAGGGTATAGGGTCTCCCTGCTTGAAACAGGGGGAGGGACTGGAAGATCTCCAAGATCCCTTCCAATTGTGATATTCTGTTATTGGGAGATTGGCACACCTGGGGAGGGGAGGGGAGAATTCTCCTACCTGCGTTGGAAGCTCAGCCGCTGTTGATCCTCTACTACAAATAACTGGGGTTCTGGGAGATGAAGCCATGGCCACGAGAGGGTCTAGGAGTGGGGAACAAACAGCAAAGGAATCATTGGCTATCAAACATCCTCAGGATATTCTTGAGCATCCAGTGCAAGAGGCTGATTTTAGCTACAAAAGACTACAAAAACTCTTTTCACAGCTGGCAGTTGAAGTGGGGAACTACCAGCCTTTTATGAGCTCTGGACTTCAACTCCCAGAATACGTGAACCAGCTGGCTGAAGAATTCTGGGACTTGAAGTCCACCAGTCATAAAAGGGCCATAACTTCCTCATCCCTGGATGACAGCAATGTTTCTCAAACTTGGCAGCTGTTGAGATATGTGGATTTCAACACACGTGGGAAATTCTGGGAGTGGAAACCCACAAATCACAAGGTTGCCCAGGTTGAGAAACAATGGCCCACAGGAAAAGAGCGACGTCTTTTTAAATGCACTAAAAGGCTTTGTAAATGCAGTTCAATTGAACGATAGGAACGAGGAAAGGAAGGCGGACGAAGGGATGGAAGGGCGTCCGGAGAAGCCTTGAGCCGATGCTCTCTCCGGAGGGGGCTCGTCTTGAGCAGCTCCCCGAAACAGCAGCGCCTGGGAGGGATCGCCCCCTTTTCTCCCCGCCGGTTTCGCAGCCCTTCAACTCCGAGCCTCCTGGATGTGAAACGGCCCCAGAGCAAAGGAAGCGACGGGAAACGG